GATTAATCCTTGGTACTCATCGCATGATGGCCGTTAACTCAGCAACCAGGAAAGCTACCAATGGACGAGCTGATGTTTCATATAAACAAGGATAAGCCGTTTGTAGCATCCATGTTAATAAGTCAGCATAATTGCGGCAATAAAACGAGTACCAGGACCATTGGCAGCAGCAAATTACGACCGAGCAACGCAACTTAGGTCAAATAAGCACACAGTAAATATCAGCTGACTGAGTAAAAATATCACAGAGTAAACATCAGCTTTCCACGTGGAACAGAGAAAGGAAGTTGTGGAAAAGGCTTCATGTGAAGAAGCATTTAAGCTAAGAATTAAGTTTCTCTTCAACTGTGTTGGCATCAGTAGCGCTTTCAATATAACTTTTTCTGAAGATCATAGAAAGTGATACGGTTTAATACCGCATTTCGCAAATTTAAATTCAGTCTTCCCGTACCCGCAGGTAACACGTACGACCACGTAAAAGTTTTGACGGGTAAAATCATTATCTCGGGAACCATGGAAGTTAGGAAGCTGAAATTTTATGGGTATGTCCCCTGCCCACGTGCAGCGCAGAAAACTTAAATTCGGCTGGACTGTTGACGTGTAAGTGCCCAATGAGAATTCACAGCTTATCAGTGTATTACTAAATCTATTGTTAAAGTTCAAAAGTGCTCAAGGAATCCTCCGTTACCTCCTGTTCCTCAGGCCTGCCGAATCTTTGGCGGTTGGCGACATTTGTGTGTCGCTATCCTCCGAGGTATCTGCTGCACTTGTGGCGCTCGAATGACCCTGCGCTGCTTTAGTATCTTGCTGCGATTGCTGCTGCTGCTGCTGTTGCTGCGACTGCTGCTGCTTCTGCTGCTGCTGTTGCTGCTGCTGAGCGTGGAGAGCTTGGAAATAACTGAGATGCTGCATGGCAAGATTTGTTTGTGCTCGATGATACTGCTCCGCTTGCCGATGCTGATAAATCTGGAAATTGAACTTATTATTAACAGATAAAGCTCTGCTACCTGCAAAATTACTAAAGCCAGCGCTAGAACTGGTTCCTGGGAGGTAATTTAAGAAAAACAAAGCCTGAAGTACAGAAAAGAACCAGTGTTACGGCACTTCAATATGACAATGCAAACAATTGGCCAACGCACGAGCTGCCCGTGCGAAGATGCGCTTTTTGCATAATTTCCCGCAGTTTTTGTCGCTACCAGCATCGGTTTTTTCGGCAAATGCTTCTAGCTGAACAAATTAAGACTAGCTGCCAGACCTGGCAGGAAACAGCCCCTTAAAATTTCAGCTTTCTAGCTTTCCTGGCTCCTGAGTTATCACCTATTTGGACGGGGAAAATCCCCCTCAGTTTTCAGCGTTCTAGCTTCTCAGATCCCCGAGTTATGAACATACCCGAAAAAAATTTTGGCGGACCCGTACGCGGATACCACGCGGGTGATGGCGACAATTTTGGGGACTGGGGCCGGTACGTGCATGTAGATTAAGCTCCCGAAATTCCAGCCCTGCACCTTTTATAGGTCTTGAGATGAAAGTGACCGTGACAGACGCACACACAGACGCACAGACACACGGACACACAGACAACCTCTCGTCAATATGCGTTTTTGCATTGCAAAGCTGCAAAAACCGCATAAAAATGAAAACGGAGCCCGAAATACAGGTCGAACAGACATGGAGAAAACATTTGTAGAAAATTCTACACGAATCTATCCGCACCACATTCCGGCATCCCTAAAGAAGAAGCTTCATAAACTGTTTTGCAATCCAATGATTTCTTGTCACGAGGAGGGCAATTCTGACGTTGCACCATTCAATGGAAACGGGCGACGCCTTCCCAGGTGAGAAATCATTTTTTATTTTTCGGTGAACGAAAACTCGTCTCGACAAACAAAACAAACGCAATTCAACATTCCCACACAATGCATGATTTTTTCTGTAAAAAAAAGAGACTCTAAAACTGGTTTCTTTTACAACATTCCGCGCTCATACATCTGTTTTGCAACACGGTAATGCAAAAGGAAGACAGGGATCAGCAACAAATGCCTGACAGAAACCATAAGAGAAGAAAATGGTGTTGCTTAAGGCAGATTAGAGCCGGCTGGAACAAAAAAATCAATGAAAGGGGAAAAAATGGGAAAAAAAGTGCTCAAAAATGTCTCGGCAAGGGCTTTTGGTGGAAGAACTGTACAGCTGGCTTCCCTTCAGGCAACGGAACGAACCAAAGAATTAACAGCAGGCTAAATACCAGGCGATACTGATCAACAGCTATTATGCGCAATAAAGAAACCGAGGATGCAAACCGGAAACCCCCGTTTGGCTAGGTCCTCTTGCCTCAAAAACCTCATAAATATTTCAACAGAAGAACTGTTTACAAAACTTGAGAAGCTGTCAGCTGCATGGATGAAGAAACAGGCTTTAGGTACCATAGAAAACAAACTAAAGGACATTAAGGAGTTAAAAAAACCCAACGTAGGATAGGATTAGAAAAGTCTGGAAAAAAATAACGAAAATGAGTAGTTAAAACTGATGTTTGTGTTTCGGGGCTTTAAGGCAAAGGCAAAAACTCACCACTAATCGCACCATTACAATGCACCATTAAAAAATGTTTTCTCGCACATGATTCTTCGACTGATCCCTTATCTTTTAATTAATGAGTAATGTAACAACTATATGAGCAGTGAAGTGAGTGGAAATGCAAACTGAAAACCCCCCTTTTTGGCTAGTTTAAGTACGTCTTTTTGCAAAAAAAAAAAAA